CATTTCAAGTACTTAGGAATACAAAGACGAATTAGAACTCAGGGAACTCTGAGTTCTTCAATCTATAATTGAAGGTTAAAATGGCCATGAGAGATAAATAATCAAGTACATAGGAGTTTTGAGCTTAATTTAATTTCAAATACAGGAAAGTTTCTAACTCTTCTTTCTCTACAAAAAAAAAAAAGTTTTTAAAAAATTAGCCAGGCGAAGCGGCACATGCCTGGAGTCCCAGTTACTCGGGAGGCTGAGGCAGGAGGATCCCTTGAGCCCAGGAGTTTGAGGCTACAGTGAGCTATGATCATGCCACTGCACTCCAGTCTGGGCAACAGAGCAAGTACCCTGTCTCTAAAAAAATTTTAAAAAGTCACTGTAGTACTTCCAGCTAGGGAAAACTGGGCTTGGTTTCCAGTTAGGTGTGGAACGACATGAAGGAGCTGATGCTGAGGTGTTAGGGCAATCTGGGTGTACTTATGAATGAAGAAAGACAAAAGAAAGGAATAGCACAGCATTCAGCTTGGCTGCAGCGAAGGGTACATGAAGCAGCAATGGAATGTGATTTCACTGAGTGCTTACTAAGTCCCAGGTACATGTGCTAGAGAAGGTTTCACATATTTAAGATTCAAGAAGAACTAGGGGAAATGAGTTTGGAAAGGTAGTCTGGAGTACGATCACAGAGGACCTTACAAAGCAAATGCTGGTTCTGAAAAGCAAAGCAGAATTGCACACAGCAGTTCAGTTCAGCCTATGCTCCTCTACCTCTTCCTAGGTCCTCTTCACCATCCTATCAAGCAACTCAGCTACAAGGAAGTAAAGGGACGATGGGGGGACATGAGGTGTATTCTTATTCTAGAAGTCTTGCTGAGGCAACTGGCATGCCAGGGACCACTGGTAAGGAAAACTGTAATTTCTTAACTACCGCCCCCCCACCTCTTCCCACCTCTGTCTCCATGGCTTGGAAAGCTTGAGCCTACTCATCGTGAGCCACAAGGTGGAGATGTCTGGCAGGGCAGAACTGAGAGGAAGTCGTTTAGCCAGCCTAAGGTTACCATTAACACTTTGAGCCACTGCCTTGAGCTAATTTTTATGTTTGTTTTTTAAGTTTGGTTGAAATGTCACAAATGGAAAAATTAAGTAAAGCGCCCAGTTAGCCACAAGACTGGACACACCTGGCTGCAAACCCGGCAAAAGAAACTTACTTCATTAGTAGGAGAGGCAGAGAGTGAAATTTACATCTGAAATCTGCCTGCACCAGGAAAGTGCTGAGGCCAAAGGCGCTGTCTGTTTTTACAGCTGTGTCAAGTCTTAGTTCTTTACTCTTACCAACACTCAGGAGTGCGGCAAGGGCCCAAGGAAAAATGGTCTCCAACCTCTTCAGCTGCAACTCAGCTCACAAAGGTTTTTAAGAAGCAGTTAATGAAATAAAACAAGACCAGATGAGGTGATATAATGAACTTTATTTCCACAGTTAATTTATATGTTTAAATCCCAAATAATGTTTTTTTAAAAGTCAGAACACTCTAAATTATTGATGTGACTTTTGTAACCTCAAATTTAACACTTGCTTTTTGTACCAGTTTCCCCAATGATATGAGTCTGCCCCGTTTTTCACAATAGTTTGGCTCCAAAAGCTGGTAAAAAGCAAATTTTTGTAAAATGAACATTTGCCCACCAAATACATGAGCCTGGAACCTAATTTTAAAGGAGTTCTTGATGCAAATTTCTGATTATTAACTCAAAAGCAGCTCTTAATTCTTGATCTTCCACATACCAATTCATTCAAAGTAATGGCCTGTAAGTCTTCGGAAGAGAAAAATCACTGGTATGTGATCGGTTTTATAAATTCTACTTCTCATATGAGTTTTCTTGCAGAGGTACACCTCTGATGTTAAATAATACAGAGACAGATTTGCAAATTACCACCTTCAAATCATAGGCTTTCAAAGCTGAAAAGAAACTCAGAGATCATGTAGTGTTAGCCTCCCCACCACCTTTTTGTCAGTGAAGAAACGGAAGCACAGAAGAGAAAAGATTTGCCAGCCAGGCTGAGAACCAGGCCAGACTGGCTCCAAACTGCCTACTCCAGTCACATGTCCTGTTTCTTTGGGTTATACACACAGAAGACTGAGATCCCCTCAATACACACACACATACACACTCTTACACTCATACCTGCATGCACTTACAACTTAGTGATTATATATACAATTTTCTTCCCTATACAAAGGGTGTCCGTTTATACCATGAGGCTAGAAAGAGAGCAGGTAAGGTATAACAGAAAAGCAATAATAGTAATTCCCCAACTCTTCTAAATCATCTCTTATTTATATATTTATTATATAGTTATAACTAAACTGGAACCTGGGCATTTCTCTTTATGAAGGCATTTTAAGAGCCTGTACTGAGTGATCACCTAAAACCTTGCAATTCAATGTACAGCTGTCCCCTACCCCATCCTGAGTCAGTAGCAACATTGGCATTAACTGGAAGCTTTCTTAAACTGTAAACTCTTTGGCCCCATCCTTAAAACCTACTGAATCAGAATCTGTATTTTCACAGATGGATTGTTTGCATATTAAAGTTTAAGAAACACTGACCTAAAACACATCCCTATGGGGCAGCACCCTATCCACAACAATTGAGATAGAAAAATATGGTTGGATAAAATGAGGGAGGAAAGACAAATTCCTGCAGGACTGCACTGATGCACACTTGGACCAGATACTAATAAATCAGGTATGATTTATTTAATAAATAAGTTAACTTTAAAAAAGAATTCCAGGCTGGGCGCGGTGGCTCACACCTATAATCCCAGCACTCTGAAAGGCCAAGGTAAGAGAATTACTTGAGCCCAGGAGTTTGAGACCAGCCTTGGCAACATAACAAAACCTCATCTCTATTAAAAAAACCAAAAAATTAGCTGGGTGTTGTAGCATGTACTTGCTGCTGCACTCCAGCTTGGGTGACAGAGTGAGACCTCGACTCAACTAAATAAACAAACAAACAAATAAATACATAAATAAATAAATACAGATAAAGCAGAACTCCAGAGGCAGAAGTTCAATTTATTCATTCATTCAACTATTCATTCAATGTTTACTGCAGAAGCAAAAAAACTGAATAAGACCATTTCTTGCCTTTATAAAGTTTACAGTTAAGTTGAAGGGACATTAATACAAAGCAACATAGAAGGCTCAATGCGTGGAACACTGTGATGAAGAGATCCATGGAGGTCCATGAAATTCATTGTGGGGAGTGGCAATTAAGAGATTCCTGTGGTTACCAGGCAACAACTTATGGCTCAGGAAGCTGTTCAGGATAGGGAGAGCTGTGGCCATATGGCTCGTGTGACCCAATTTCCAGCAGAGTTAGTCAACAATGATAAGAAAAACAGGCTCACAAATGGAAGAGTGGCTGCCTAGCAGTCAGCCAAAGATTTGGCTGACCAGGGGGTACCACTGGTCATTATTAAATGGGATGGTTTGAGACTGCCGACACCACCTTATGTCCACCGTGTGCTGCCACAGAGTTGGGTAGTAACTACTTGAGGACATGTGGGAACACTCAGCTGGATGAATACCTTAGAGGCTAAGAATATCACTCCAGGCAGCTGTGACCTTGTGAAATATTTTGAAATATATATTTGGTCTTTAACCTGTTTTCTGGCCTACAACTCCTAAAACTCCTGGAATCTGCAAAGTGATATATTTTTGTATGCTAACGATTGGCTGTTGGATGACAGACCCCAGGTAGCTTCAGCATACACAGCAAGGCTTAACAATGGTTACTTATTTCTGGGGAGATGGGCTGGGAAAAAGACACTTGTTTTTTTACATTAAATGGTTTTTACTCTTTGATTTTTATTCTATAAGCACGTGTAACTTTTATAATACACCTATAAACTTAATTTACTTCTCAGTCTACAGGGAGAACTTTGCTCTGTATTGAAAGAAACTAAGTTAACCCATTTCATGACCCAGTCATGGTTCTGCTTTGGATGCTTCCAAGCTGAGAGTGAATGAAATGGGAAATAACAAGGAACTGCAAGTTACTAAAACATGGTCTAGACAAACAAAATACATAATATACACAAAGAAGAGATCACTATTTATGTAACCAACTGTATTCTAATGCTTTGGTTTCATATATTTCCATGTGACAAATATATTTATATATTCCCCTTTCACAGGTTAATTATTAAATGTACTAATATACATTTTCAGCAGATAACTTGTCAAGATCTTCGGCTAACAGTGATCAAGGAGCTTGCATTTCAATTCTTGAGGACAATGCAGGCCTTATATCAGGGTCTTCCCATCAGAATTAATTTTTAGAAGGACTGGTTCAAATATTGAATTGGTGTCAAAAGTATAGTATCTTTTTTTTTTTTTTTGACTCAGAGTCTCACTCTGTCACCCATGCTGGAGTGCAATGGCACGCTCACAGCCACCACAGCCTCGACCTGCTAGGCTCAGGTAATCCTTCCACCTCAGCCTCCCAAGCAGCTGGGACTACAGGAGTATGCCACCACACCCAGCTAATTTTTTGATTTATTGTAGAGACGAGGTCTCACCAAGTTGCCCAGGGTGGTCTCAAACCCCTGAACTCAGGCAATCTTCTGGCCTCATGTCTTCCTCATACAGGCATGAGCCACCATGCCCAGTTTGTATCCTTAAACTGGATTATTATTTGATTCCCTTCATTCACCAAATCCATCCTTCCTATCACCATGTTTTGGGTTTTATAGTGCCATCTCCATACTCAGCATGTCCTCACAATGACTTATCACAATTATGTGTACAAACACATAAATAAAGTATCTGTGACACATCAGTCTCCAAAGAAGCAGAAAAAGTGACTGGCTGAACTGTCACTTGACATTAGGCAGCACTTCACAGAAATATAAGAGCAAGGCCATTCCAGAACAGATCACACTCCAACCTCAAGTCAGGCATTTCCTTACCAGAGCTGTGCACAACTAGAATCTGATAGCACTCACTTACCCCCATGACTCTGCCACGCTGTTCAACATCCTCCCACATAAAATGAACTATGATCCGACACATGTATTTCCCACTCCGGCCTTCCTGCTTCATTCGGACTAGACACATCCTGAGGAAAAGAAGACAGAGAGAGTCACTGGCTGTTTGCAATTCTCACTTTACACATTTCCACTGAAGGTCTGCTCATCTAAGAGTAATTTTAGCAAAGGGCATTAAATAAAAAAACAGCAAGCGACTTTTTTTTTTTTAACTTTTCCAGCCTGGGCAACTTGGTGAGACCTCATCTCTATGATAAATCAAAAAATTAGCCAGGCGTGGTGGCACATGCCTGTAATTCCAGCTACTTAGAAGGCTGAGGCAGAAGGCTCACCTGAGCTCAGCAGGTCGAGGCTGCAGTGGCCGTGAGTGTGCCACTGCACTTCAGCCTGGGCGACACAATGAGACTCTGACTCAAAAAAAACCAAAAAACAAAAAAACTTTTATTGAAGTATAACAAAGATACTATCAAGTATATAAATCTTAAGCATACTGCCTGGTAAATTTTTACCTATTATTTATATATACATCCAGGTAAGCACCACCCAGATCAAGATATAGATTATTTAGAGTACTACAGAAGGTTCTCTCAGACAAGAGACCAAATTTAGTTATCAGAATACAAGTCTGAATCCTGCATTTTACTGATGAAATAGGAGTCCTAAAGAAGGAAAGTAATTTGTCTAACACCACAGAGTAGTCTATATAGCTGGATATAGGCCTGTACTGTCTAATACAGTAGTCATTAGCTATCTGTGGCTACTGAGCACTTTAAATACAGCTAATCTAAACTGAAATGTGCTACAAGTTTAAGATTTCAAAGATTTAGTTCAAGAAAAAGGATATAAAATATCACATTAATTTTTATACTGCTTTCATATTGAATTAGTTCAGTTATATTAGGTTAAATAAAACCTTTTATTAAAATTAACTTAATTTGGCCAGGTTCAGTGGCTCAGCCTGTAATCCCAGCGCTTTGGGAGGCCGAGGTGAGTGGATTGCCTGGGCCCACGGGTTCGAGACCCGCCCGGGCAACTTGGCGAGACCTCATCTCTACAATAAATCAAAAATTAGCTGGACGTGGTAGCGCACATCTGTAGTCCCAGCTACTTGGAAGGCTGAGGCGGAAGGATCGTTGGAGCCCAGCAGGTTGAAGCTGCGGTGGCCAGGAGCATGCCACTGCACTCCAGTCTGGGCGATGGAGTGAGACTCCAACTCACACACACACACAAAAATTTAATTTGTTTCTTTTCGTTTTTAAAAATGTAGATACTAGAAAAGTGATTAAATTGTTTATCCAAAAGTTAGAATCAGAACCAAGGGATGGGTCACAGAGGGAGAAAGAGTCACTCAACACTGAACAACAAAAGCAAAAAGTTTCTAATGAGTGTATCTAAAGATTTGAGTGATAGAATGGATGATTTCAAAAAGTAGAGAACTTGCCTGTTACTAAGAGGTGAATAAATTCAGCTGACAGAGGTTGACTACATGATCTCTAGTAAGATTTTCTGACGTTATGATTCTAAATCTATAACCTCTAAACCCAGGTAGAATCTAAGAAATAACACTTTTTGACAATAATGAAACAGGTCACAGAAAAAGATCTGGCTACTTTATGTGACACAGGGTACATTCCAAGGCAGAAACAAACAGGAAAGGTCAACGGTACTGTCTCACAAGGTTTTTCAAAAAGCTAATCAAATCATTCATGTCAGGTTCTCACCTGAAAAGACACTGTGTGTTTTGATGCTTAAGTGTCGTCAGAGGCTAATTCATCAAGAGCAATAGTGAGGTAATGGAATTCTTCATTTATTTGAAAATTCTGTAGTTTGTTAATACACCTGCCCTCTCAGGTTTAAAAGGCACAGGTTTTCTCAGACCATAAACTTTTTAACTCTATCGACATGGGTGACGTGGTTTTTGTTTTACAGCACAGCTTTTTCTATGTCCCTTACAGATAGCAGTCGGTTCAAACGATTACCTGTTTGAAAAGCTAAAGCTAAGTGAAGACATTTTCAAGATAGTGGCAGACAATCCCTTCAATGAACATAAACTGAGCTTCCACTGTGTGAAGGTACATGGCTGGATACTATGGGGTGATGGCTAAAACTAGAACCCAGCTTTCAAGGAGCAGTTAGTTAACTGGGGAGATAAAGTATGCCATATTCGCCGGGCTCGGTGGCTCAGCCTGTAATCCCGCGCCTTTGGGAGGCTGAGGTGAGTGGATTGCCTGAGCCTGCGGGTTCGAGACCTGCCTGGGCAGCAAGACCGCATCTCTACAATAAATCAAAAAAATCAGCCGGGCATGGTAGCGCATACCCGTAATTCTGACTACTTGAAAGGCTGAGACGGAAGGATCGCCGGAGCCCAATAGGTTGAGGCTGCGGTGGCCGGGAGCAGCCACTGCACTCCAGTCTGGGCGACAGAGTGAGACTCCAACTCAAAAAAAAAAAAATTCATTATGACTGGAAAATGAGTTTTTTGTTTTTAAAGGAATCACAGTGATTTATTGGGACTAATGAAACCTACATTTATTTAATTTAAAGTAGATAAACCACTACCACACACCACACTAAATGGAGCAAAGAACAAAATTGTTTTCAATCAACAACATTCCAATGAGAGTCAGTTGCTTTTTTTTTTTTTGGAGTTGGAGTCTCACTCTGTCGCCTAGGATGGAGTGCAGTGACACGCTCATGGCCACTGCAGCCTTGACCTTCTAGGCTCAGGCAATCCTTCTGCCTCAGTCTTCCAAGTAGCTGAAATGACAGGTGAGTGCCACCATGCCTGGCTAATTTTTTTTTTTTTTTTTAATTTACTGTAGAGACGAGGTCTTGCCGAGTTGCCCAGGCTGGTCTCAAATCCCTAGACTTAGGCAATCCTCTAGCCTCGACCTCTCAAAGTGCTGGGTTTACAGGCTTGAGCCACCATGCCTGGCCTTGCCAGTTGCTTCTTTAAACACACTTTTAAGATCTTTCGGCTTCTTCAGGTGTTTCCACTGCTGGGGGCATGAGTGTCATTTATGCGGCATAGCCCCTATTTCTTCATTTATTGGTTCTTAGGGCTGAGAACATAACGTTGAATAGACAAGGTCTTTGCTTTCCTGGTGCTTACAGCCCAGTGGGAAAATGTTTAACAATCATATGAACACCATTGTAATCACAACCTCACTAAGATTGATGAAGTACAGGGAGTTTGTGGGGGACTGACTGGGTCCTGGGGCCGTCGAAGAGCTCCCTGAAGCAGGAAAATTCAGCTGAGGTCTGAAGCCTGAGGTGAGTTGGCCAGGTGGTTGGAGTAGAGAAGAGTGTCTAAGAAAGGGAACTGTGGAGGCTCCTAGACAGGAAATGTCTGGACAGGTTTCATGACCCACCCAGGAAGTCCATCCTGCGATAGCCTGGTACTAAGGTGGAGAGAGATGAGGGTGTGTGGTGGCTGGAGGTCAGGGCGACGGTCACCCGGTGGGCTTATTTCCTTCCGTTCATGGAAACTACCAAGCTTTCTCCTGCCTCTGTCCTGGGCCCATGTAGATCCCTCTGCCTGGAATGTTCTTCCCTTGTTCCTCCTTCAGGCCTCAACTGAAATATCACGTCCCAAAGTACTGGGATTACAGGCTTGAGCCGCCACGGCCGGCCCTGGCAGCATCTCTTAACAACTGTGTGACCTTGCATGAGTCACGGAACCACCTTATGCTCAGCTTTCTATTCTGTAATATGAGCCTTATACTTCCTACCGCAGAGGGCTTTTGTGAGACTCAGACGAGGCAGTGCATGTGGAAGCAGCTAGCAGGGTGCCTGGCTCCAGGAGAGGTGCTCCCAGAGTGTGCATTGTCTTCCTTGCTTCTCATTCCCAATCCTGTGCTCTTTTTACTGCACTGTGACATATATGCTGAGCCTCAGGCCTCTCTCAGCCCCAGCCCAGTCCTTGACCCCATCCCCCTTCCTGCCAGCTGCTTTCCTGAATCATGCCTGCTGCAAAAAAATATCAGGGGCCTTCTAGGAGTTTGCAGTGGTAGCAGTCACAGGAGGAACAAGAGGGAGGGAAGGGACCAGCTGTTTTGGGGTCTTTTTTTTTTTTTTGAGTAAGAGCCTCACTCTGTCGCTCAGGCTGGAGTGCAGTGGCATGTTCATAGCCACCACAGCCTCCACCTGCTAGGCTCAGGCTATCCTTCTGCCTCAGCCTTCCAAGTAGCTGGGATTATAGGCATGCACTACCATGCCCAACTAATCTTTTGATAAACTGTAGAGACAAAGTCTTACCATGTTGCCCAGACTGGTCTCAAACTCCTGGGCTCAGGCAATCCTCTCGCCTCTGCCTCCAAAATGCTGGGATTACAGGCGTGATCCACCATGCCTGGCATGGTGTTTGTTTTTTTTTTTGAGGTGGAATCTTGCTATGTTGCCCAGGCTGGATTCACATTCCTAGGTTCAAGTGATCCTCCCCACCTTAGCCTCCCAAGTAGCTGGGACTACAGGCAGGAGCCATTGCACCATTTAGCAAGTGGTTTTGATGGAGAATGGATAGTGGGGAGGTGCTGTTGAAACAGACCAGGATTTGGGGAGTAAGATTTTTGTTTTTGTTTCGTTTTTTTAGACACAGGGTCCTGCTATGTTGTCCAGACTGGTCTTGAACTCCTAGACTCAAGTAATCCTCCCAGCTTGGCCTCCCAAAGTGCTGGGATTACAGGTGTGAGCTACCGTACCTGGCCGGGTAGTGAGATTATGGCTAGATTTATTTATTTAAATTTATTTACTTATTGAGTTGGAGTCTCACAGTCACCACAGCCTCTACCTGCTGGGTTTTGGTGACCCTTCCACCTCAGCCTTCCAAGTAGCTGAACTACAGGCAGGCACCACTACACCCAGCTAATTTTTTAATTTATTGTAGAGATGAGATCTCACCGAATTGCCCATGCTGGTCTTGAACCCCTGGATTCAGGCAATCCTCTCGTCTCTGCTTCCCAAAGTACTAGGATTCCAGGCATGAGCCACCATGCTTGACTATGGCTAGTTTTAAGCTTCCTTAGTAAACATTAGATTTTTTTTTTTTTGCTTTGTGTTTTTTTGTTGTTGTTGTTGGTTGTTGTTGTTTTGTTATTTTTTTCTTGAGTTGGAGTTTCACTCTTGTTACCCAGGCTGGAGTGCAGTGGCACACTCATGACCACCGCAGCCTCGACCTGCTGGGCTTAGGTGATCCTTCCACTTCAACCTTCCAAGTAGCTGGAACTACAGACACATGCCACCACGCCTGGCTAGTTTTTTTTGTGATTTATTGTAGAGATGAGGTCTCACCAAGTTGCCCAGGCTGGTCTCGAACTCCCGGGCTCAGGCAATTCTCTCACCTCAGCCTCCCAACATACTGGGATTACAGGTTGAGCAACCACATCCAGGTCTTTTTTTGCTTTGAAACAACTTAAGACCTTCAAAAAAAAGTTCAGGCTGGGGGCAGTGGCTGACACCTCTAATCCTAGCACTTTGGGAGGCTGAGGCAAGAGAATTGCTTGAGCCCAGGAATTGAAGACTGACCTTTTTCTGATAAAATTTGAATATTTTTCTGTTGATGTAATTTGAAGTAAAATAGTTATGGTAAAATGTTCTATATTAAATAGTTTATATGCTCGTAGAATGTCTGGAAAATACAAAGACATGTAATATTAAGGTTACCCAAAGAATAAAATACTAGCCAGTTATTTAAAAGAATAAGTTAGATCAGGTTGTACTGATATGGAAAGATGTCCCTGGATAATATTGTTAAGTCGAAAGAAAACAAAACAAAAAGTTCGCAGAAAATGTTTGGTATGACCCCATTATGTGTCTATGAATAGAAGAAGGTTTGGAAGTATATACTGCAAACTGTTGCTAGTGGTAAATAGCCATTGGGAAGGTGAGGTAGGCTTAGGGGAAGTGTATTTATACTTGTATTTGTTTGAACTTTTTTTTTTTGAGTCAGAGTCTCAGTCTGTCGCCCAGGCTGGAATGCAGTGGCACGCTGACAGTCACCGCAGCCTCCACCTCCTGGGATCAGGTGATCCTCCACCTCAGTCTTTCAAGTAGTTGGAACTACAGGTACCACCATGCCCCGCTAATTTTTTGATGTACTGTAGAGATGAGGTCTCGCCAAGTTGTCCAGGCTGGTCTCGAACCCCCGGGCTCAGGCAATCCTCTCACCTCTGCCTCCCAAAGTGCTGGGATTACAGGTGTGAGCCACTGTGTCCAGTTTGTTTGAATTTTTAAGGGGCATTCATCATCTTAATAATTTAACATTTTGAAAATAGAATTTAAAAAGAAGAGTATAGCGTGCAGAAATCCAGTAGACAATACTTTAACCAAGTGATCATGATGAACATCACCATTGGTAAGACATTGCAACATGATGTACCCCTGATAGGATGTGGTGGAAAGGAATCATCACTTCTGTGGTATTCTTGCCAAAAATGCATAATCTCAATTTAATCTTGAAAAAAAAATCAGACAAACCCAAGTTGTGAGATATTCTATAAACTGACTGACCAGTACTGGTCAAAAGTGACAAGGTCATGAAAGACAAGGGAAGACTGAGGAACTGTCACAAATTAGAGACTAGGGAGATGCACAGCAACTAAATGCAACAGAAGATTTTGGATTCCAACTTGGAATAGAAAAAGGGCGTTATGGGAAAAACTAATAAGGTTCACGTACAGTCTATAATTTAGTTAATAACATTTGTTCATTCATTTCCTGGTTTTGATCATGGTATTACGGTTCTGTAAGTGGTAAACATTAGAGAAAGTTGGGTGGAGGACAGACATGAACTCTATAATACTTTGCAACTTTTTTTCTTTCTCTCTTTTTTTTTTTTTTTGAGACAAGGTTTCACTACGTCGCCCAGGTTGGTCTCGAACCTGTGGGCTCAGGCAATCCACTCTCTTTGGCCTCCCAAAGTGCTGGGATTACAGGCTGAACCACCATACTGACCGGATTAAATTTCAAAATGAAATCCGGAGGGGTCACCCTTATTTAAACCAAAACAGGGAGTCTTGGAATTGATGGAACAAGATCGTTTCTTCTTGGCCCTTTACTAACCAGAATTCCTGTGTGGTCTTCCAGGCACAGCCAGGACCCCATGACTAGCTGATCCTTCCATCCCAGAGTGATGGATTCAGATGATTTCACCCGTGTGGACTCTGAGTTCCGATACACTCTCTTCCCAGTTGTCTACAGCGTCATCTTTGTGCTGGGGGTCATCGCCAACGGCTATGTGCTGTGGGTCTTTGCCCACCTGTACCCTTCCAAGAAACTCAATGAGATAAAGATCTTCATGGTGAACCTCACCATGGCCGACCTGCTTTTCCTGATCACCCTGCCACTGTGGATCGTTTACTACTACAACCAGGGCAACTGGATTCTTCCCAAATTCCTGTGCAACCTGGCGGGCTGCCTCTTCTTCATCAACACCTACTGCTCTGTGGCCTTCCTGGGTGTCATCACTTACAACCGCTTCCAAGCGGTAACTCAACCCATCAAGACTGCTCAGGCCACCACCCGCAAGCGTGGCATCACTTTGTCCCTGGTCATCTGGGTGGCCATTGTGGGCGCGGCATCCTACTTTCTCATCCTGGACTCCACCAACGCAGTGCTCAACAAAGCTGGCTCAGGCAACATCACCCGCTGCTTTGAGCATTACGAGAAGGGCAGCGTGCCGGTCCTCATCATCCACATCTTCATCGTGTTCAGCTTCTTCCTTGTCTTCCTCATGATCCTCTTCTGCAACCTGGTCATCATCCGCACGCTACTCATGCAGCCAGTGCAGCAGAAGCGCAACGCTGAAGTCAAGCGCCGGGCGTTGTGGATGGTCTGCACGGTCTTGGCGGTGTTCATCATCTGCTTTGTGCCCCACCACATGGTGCAGCTGCCCTGGACCCTTGCCGAGTTGGGCTTTCAGAACAGTGACTTCCACCAGGCTATTAACGATGCACATCAGATCACCCTCTGCCTCCTTAGCACCAACTGTGTCTTAGACCCCATCATCTACTGTTTCCTCACCAAGAAGTTCCGCAAACACCTCACTGAGAAGTTCTACAGCATGCGCAGCAGCCGGAAGTGCTCCCGGGCCACCACAGATACGGGCACCGATGTGGTTGTGCCACTTAATCAGGTCCCTGCCAATTCTCTCAAAAATTAGTTCCTGCTTGTTGGGGCCAGGCCTAAAGCCTTTTCCTTCATGGACATCACAGCATGGGCTGGAAGAAGAAGGGATATTTGCTGTGGTCTGGGCACCTCCTCCATGGGCACTGGCGGCCTGTTGGATATGTAGGCTACCCTACCCAGGCAAAGATGATGGCAGAGCCAGAGTGTGGGGAAATCCAGAACTCAAATGAGTCCCTTCATCCACCTTTGGGCACATACTGTAGTAACCTTGGCTGGTGACCTCATCCTGAGCCTGAGTCTCATGCAAGGAATGTCAGGGCAAGGTACAGACCTTGGGATAGACTTGGAACCACCTAGTTCACCCCACTGGGACATCAGCCTGAGGTTTTGGACAATTGCTCCCAAGTGATAAAGGCAGAGATGAAAGGTTTGGAAAGGGACACTCCCCTGGCTGTGTGACTATCATTGGGGCAGACTTTTGAGCTAGGATGGTGGCATCCTCTCTCCACTCTCAGGCACGAGGTCTTTGTGACACTTCTCAGGGGAAGTGGCTTGATGAAACTTTCTCAACTCACCCGGCAACCTGGCCCAAATGAAGAAAAAGCATGGACAGACCACAAATTAGGACAGGAGCTTGTTTCCTGAGGCAGATGTGTCTCTGCACAGACCTTGCTTCAGGCCTTGATCAGTTCTGGAGGCATGGGCAAGATAACCACCTTGTCCATCTTCTAGCTCAACAACCGACTGATTAAGTACCTCCTGTGGGACACCCACCCACTGAGGGTGGGTAAAGGGTCCTCAAAGCAAAACTGGGGCCGCCAGGCCAGTGCACCTCGACATCCAGAGCAGGCACTTGGGCTGGGAAGTGCCTGAGGCTTCTGGGTAGAAGGAACTCGAAAGTTCTTCCCCATCCCGCTTTCTGGGAGGCCCCTCCTAAGCTGGTTTCTAGGGAAGCGGGAGGAGCCATTAAGGTCCCAAGGACCAACAGAGTCAACTTCTTCAGATGCTTACTTGTGATTTTTGGCAAATACGTTCATTGGGCCTCCTCTGACCTGAGACAAGTGCCTTCAGTGTGAACCTCACCGCCTCAGACCCAAGGGCTCGGAAGAGCCGTCCCTGGTTTCCACAGCTCTGTGCTGCTTCTGAGATGTCTTCCTTCCTATCCTACATATCCATGAAGTTGGAATACTTGTTTCCTGTCTACTGGGCAAGCATTGGACTTTGACAAATGCCTCCCGATGGGCCATGACCTGCTTGGATCTGGAATGGTAGCTGAGGGCTGGACTTCATTGATGGTGACCAGGTGGTTAGTGCAGTACACTTGAGCTTTTGTGTCACGCAGACTCAAGATCAAGGCTTGACTTTGTCATTTCCTGCTGTGGAACCAGGAGCTAAATTTTCCTACCTCTTGGTATTGTTACCCGTGAGGTAAAACCTACCTCGTAAGATTACTGGGAACACCCAGTGTTGAGGCAGACACCTCTGGCTCAGCGTGACTGCTTATCCTAGACTGTGCCCTTTTCTGAGAATTTGGCCCCCTAGTTCCCTCACTAGGAACTGACAGGATAAGAGGTGGACACCTGGATCCAGGGAGGTTGTTTCAGGAGTTTAAGGTCACTTGGCTGAAGAGATGTGAACTCTGGTGCTGTGAACGTGTCTATGTGTGTGTGTTTGTGTGTAATAGGGGCAGGGCAGCCATCTGCGTGAATGTAGTAGAGAGAATGACTCTGCTCAGAGAGATGGGCCCAGCAGAGTGGAGACCGGAGAGAACTGCAGGAACTTGGAGAGATGAGGAGTGCCGCTTCCATGGGCCTGTGGGCTTTCCTTCTCCAGATCCAGCCCTTCCAGAGGCCTACCTGTGCACTCCTCCCTTTGGGTCCTGTGAGAGGTCAGGATACATTTTCTTATTTTCTATCTTTTTTTTTTTCCTGAATCGGAGTCTCACTCTGTCGCCCAGGCTGGAGTGCAGTGGCATGCTCACAGCCACTGCAGCTTCAACCTGTTGGGCTCAGGTGATCCTTCCGCCTCAGCCTTCCAAGTAGCTAGAACTACAGGCATGTGCCACCACACCTGGCTCATTTTTTGATTTATTGTAGAGATGAGGTCTCACCAAGTTGCTTGGACTGGGCTCAGGCAATACTCTCACCTTGGCCTCCCAAGGTGCTGGGATTATAGAGCCACCACACCTGGCCTCTCTTATTTTCTTAAGCTGATTTGAATGAGTGTCTATTCCTTGCAACCAAAGAGCTTTGAAGGAGGTAAATGCTTCCATGCTAACACAGTTTCCTGAATTTGTGTACCCCTCTCAAAAGTTTTTGCAATGTTCATGTAAATAAATGTCTTTCTTTAAATTGAGTCACTTTTAAAAACATATTTATTTAAGAGAAAACTTTATAACATAATCGTAAATGAAAATGAATGCCACCGGCCAAATAGAAGGCAGACATAGACCTAAAAACACAACTCTTAGAAATGTCTCTTTACATAGAAATGACTTACATAGTACACTTTAGGAGAAACCCTGATGTGATGTGTAGAAGGTACAGGGTGCTGATAAACAGAGTAACTCTGACAATTCTGAGATGGTGACTGGGATTGCCCCTTGCATCTCCCGGGATATTGTCTCGATACACAGGCCAGGCTCCGCTACCCAGGGCCCTGGGCAGGGGGCGAGGGTAGTATATTAGACTGTAATCCAGTATATTAGACTGGAGAGTCCTGCTGATCTCATTACCCTTATATGGCTGCCTTTACTTCCCCTATAACCTCTACCTGTTTGTGATCTCAGACACCTTCTTTTTATTTTTATTTTAGAAATGGAGTCTTACTATGTTGCCCAACTTGAAGGGAGACAGTGGTTATTCACAGGCACAATTATAGTGCAGGATAGCCTTGAACTCATGGCCTCAAGTGATCCTCCCACCTTGGCCTCCCAGGTAGCTGGGATTACAGGCACCCACCACAGCGCCCAGCCCTTCTTTTTGTCCTAGCCTGATAGGCAGCCTTCTGAATTCCTCCAGACAGCATGCTTGGATTGGGAGGATCCAACTTTTTTATACCTTAATTACTGTGAGGTTTATCTATTTCGATGTCTTAGAGTCTTACTCTGTTGCCCAAACTGGAATGCAGTGGCATACTTATGGCTACCATGCAGCCTCAACCTGCTGGGCTAAGGCAATCCTTCTGCTTCAGCCTTCCAAGTAGCTGGAACTACAGGTGTGCGCCACCACGCCTGGCTAACTTTTTGATTTACTGTTGAGATGAGTTCTCGTCAAGTTGCCTAGGCTGGTCTTAAACCTCTCAGACAATCCTCTTGCCTCCACTCCCAAAATGCTGGGATCATAGGGGTGAGCCACTGTACCCAGCCAGGAACCTGATCTTAATCATCTATGCATCCAGTTTCTCACACAGCCTGGAATTGAGATCTGCCTGTCTCCAGAGTGGTTTCCCCAGAGTGTAGCATAAACAGACATACTGACATATACATGCAGTTATTTTGAAAGGGTTTTTTTTTTTTTTTGAGTTGGAGTCTCACTCTGTCGCCCAGACTGGAGTGCAGTGGCCGCTCCTGGCCACCGCAGCCTCGACCTGCTGGGCTCCGGCGATCCTTCCGCCTCAGCCTTCCAAGGAGCCGGAATTACAGGCATGCGCTACCACGTCCGGCTGATTTTTTGATTCATTGTAGAGATGAGGTCTCGCTGCCCAGGCGGGTCTCGAACCCGCGGGCTCAGGCAATCCACTCACCTCAGCCTCCCAAAGGCGCGGGATTACAGGCTGAGCCACCGAGCCTGGCTTGAAAGGGTTTATGGAGACTCCTTGGGGATAGATGGGAAGGACATTTGAAACATATTCTTCCAAAGTTCTAGGTTCATATTTTAAAGGAAGATGTAGGGGACTTTCAAAGGATTGGAACATTTTGGAACTGGAAGGGGCCAACCCCTTCATCTTGCTAAGGGGAACGTGGGGCTCAGAGGGGTTAAGTGATTGTGGAAGTTATACAATGTGTCACCGCAGTGTACACAGGTCTGGATGTGCACTTGCACCTCTCCCTCACGGTGGTGACAAGGATTCTGAGAGAGGCTGAGTCGGAATTCTTTTGATGAAACATCACTGATTAAGGATTTCCAATGCATCCTGCATGTCAGGAAGGCCTCACCTTGCATTTCCCCCTGACCTCAGCCTTTGCCCCAGGGAATCACCAGTGATCTCATTTGGAGAACACTGGCTCCTGCAAGACCTGGTCTCATCAAGATGAGTCATGGGCTCAACAGCAGTAGCATAGGTCACAGTGGAATAGAACTAGGTATGTTTATGCCAGTTTATTTTATTTATTTATTTATTATTTTTTTTTTGAGTTAGAGTCTCACTCTGTCACCCAGACTGGAGTGCAGTGGCCGCTCCCGGCCACCGCAGCCTCGACCTGCTGGGCTCCGGCGATTCTTCCGCCTCAGCCTTCCAAATAGCTGGAATTACAGGTGCACGCTACCACGCCCGGCTGATTTTTTGATTTATTGTAGAAATGAGGTCTCGCCTGCCCAGGCGGGTCTCAAACCCGCGGGCTCGGGCAATCCACTCACCTCAGCCTCCCAAAGGTTCGGGATTACAGGCTGAGCCACTGAGCCCGGCTCGTTTATGCCAGTTTTTACTCATCTATGTTCTATTGTGCTCAAGACTCAAGGCCACAAAGAGAGATAATAAAACCCTCTTATAAAGCACCTGGTTTTTGTGCAGATTTGGTATTTCTGCAGAACACATTTTGTTTCCCTTGACATCCTGCCAGCAAGCCATCCTCCCCTGTGTCCACCCATCCGTCTATCCGCCCATCCATCCATCCCTCCATCCCTCCATCCAGGTACCCAACAAACACCTATGGAGTGCCATTTTGATACTATTTTGAGCTTTTGCTAAGCACAGTTTTGATCTGCTAGCTCGTTGAAAGAAACCTCCTACAACCCCGAAAGGTAGATGGCTTTATCCATACAAAAGTGAATAAAATAAATAAGGACCTAAGCTGCTGAACAAGACATAATGGCTGCCTCCTAGGCACTTGGTTCAGAAGGAAGGGGAAGCCTCCAGCTATTTGCTTGCCTTTTTCACATATCTAATCTCACTGAGTTCTCACAATTACCCTGCAGAATAGACATTTTTGTGCTCATTTTACTGATGGGGAAATTGAAGCCCAGAGGGATTCAGTAATTTATAAAGGTAGAAGAATTATTAAGCAGTAGACTAATATGTAAACCCAGGTCTGCCTTAGGAAGTATGGGTCTCTTTCCTTCTCTCCTCCCCTCACATAAC